ACATACACATACACATACACATACACATACACATACACATACACATACACATACACATACACATACACATACACATACACATACACATACACATACACATACACATACACATACACATACACATACACATACACATACACATACACATACACATACACATACACATACACATACACATACACATACACATACACATACACATACACATACACATACACATACACATACACATACACATACACATACACATACACATACACATACACATACACATACACATACACATACACATACACATACACATACACACATACACATACACATACACATACACATACACATACACATACACATACACATACACATACACATACACATACACATACACATACACATACACATACACATACACATACACATACACATACACATACACATACACATACACATACACATACACATACACATACACATACACACACATACACATACACATACACATACACATACACATACACATACACATACACATACACATACACATACACATACACATACACATACACATACACATACACATACACATACACATACACATACACATACACATACACATACACATACACATACACATACACATACACATACACATACACATACACATACACATACACATACACATACATACACATACACATACACATACACATACACATACACATACACATACACATACACATACACATACACATACACATACACATACATACACATACACATACACATACACATATATATATGTATGTATGTATGTATGTATGTATGTATGTATGTATGTATGTATGTATGTATGTATGTATGTATGTATGTATGTATGTATGTATGTATGTATGTATGTATGTATGTATGTATGTATGTATGTATGTATGTATGTATGTATGTATGTATGTATGTATGTATGTATGTATGTATGTATGTATGTATGTATGTATGTATGTATGTATGTATGTATGTATGTATGTATGTATGTATGTATGTATGTATGTATGTATGTATGTATGTATGTATGTATGTATGTATGTATGTATGTATGTATGTATGTATGTATGTATGTATGTATGTATGTATGTATGTATGTATGTATGTTGTATGTATGTATGTATGTATGTATGTATGTATGTATGTATGTATGTATGTATGTATGTATGTATGTATGTATGTATGTATGTATGTATGTATGTATGTATGTATGTATGTATGTATGTATGTATGTATGTATGTATGTATGTATGTATGTATGTTTCTTTCCTTTTCTATTCAAAGACTTACGATTTAACCTTTATATTTTTTTTGATTAATTTAGGATTTTTATTTTACAAATCGAACATCTTTCTGACCTTTTAAGGATACTTTTTAATCGATTGGAGGTAAGTAATTTGGATTCAACTTTATTTTCTATATAATTTTCAAATTTTCTTAATTAAGACAATTGGAAATTAAATTAGTACCGAAAGGGCAGTTCAAGTGTGTTAATCCTTTCTTGACTGTAACCGACTCCCGAATCCGACATATTTCTGGTAATACACAGATCATGTAAGATGGTGTCGATCAAGCTAAATATTATTTTTAAAATGATCGGTGGTGATTGTAATATATTTTATTTAAGTCGAAGCTCAATTATAGTCTCACCCGAAAGACGATTGCGATAGTAGGTGCCAGATATCCAAACATAACGAGATTTTTAGCACCATTTCGTGGACAAAAGTATCATGCACGTGACTTTATAGGTAGAAATCAATCAAAAGGAAAAGAATAATTATTTAATATGAGATATTCTTTTGTCGAAATATGATTGAGCGTACTATTGGAGTGTTGAAAAAATGATTTGCTATATTAAGAGATGTGCCTAATTATCTTATTAGAAAACAACATTATATACCAAAAGCATGTTGTACATTGTATAATTGTATCATATTAAAAGTTGAAAAGGACAAGAGAAAATGAGCAAAAATTTGATGACACGGAAGTAAATTTATCTAAGTCAAATGAGGAGCATATTACATTTAATATGTCACAAACTGTTGAGATGACTCAAGTTAGAGAAGAGATTACTACATCATTATAGATTAATTATAGACTTAATTAGAAATTCAAAATAAATGTAGTGATTATGAAGTGATAATAATTATATCTTTTGAATTATATTTAATTATTGTTTTTTTTATTAAGAATACAAGTTGTATTTTTTTGGATTTTAAAATTTCATTTGTTTAATCATATTATTATTATACAATCCTAATATTTAAATTTAAATTAATTAATTAATTAATTATTATTATTTTATGTATACTTTAAAAAGTAGATACCAAACACATTATCATTATTTTCATATCTGAAAACGAGTTTTCAATTTTTTAACCAAACGTGTTTTCTATTTTTCAAAAAAATTGTAAATGAAAATTGTTTTTAAAAAATATAAAAATAGAAAACAAAAAGAAAAAATATTTTCTAAAACCAAACGGACCATAATATTTTCTTTTACCGTTAATACCCCTTAATGACTTTAGTTTGTTTTTCCCCTTCTTGTTGCCAAAATAATAGTCTCTTATTAATGAGATTTATTTTTTATATAACGTTTATACATTATTCAGACCCTAAACTCTTCGTTCACAAAATAATATGCGTTTAAATACGTTAAAGTTTGCATTTATTTAGAATTTATTAAGTGATTTCAATGGTTAAAGGGTATATTGTTATCTTTTAGGGGGAGTTTGGATGGGGAAATGTGGGATTCCCATGGGAATGTAATCCACATTCTCCCGTTTGGTTAGTCCGAAAATTCCATTCCCGCTAATGTAAGATTACCAATAGTGGATATTTTGGGGTATATTACCGGGAATGTCATTACCTCTCTTTTCTTAAGTATTGTTGTATTACCGGCGTTTCGGACTAAAATGCCCTTAAATTTTTTCTTTCTTTCAAAAATATATTTCTTCTATCATTGAATAATAAAAATTCTATGAAGGTTAAATTACAAATTTATCCTTAAACTATTTTAGATTTATAAAAAAAAAGTCTATAATTAAAATTTTATATGAAGTTCAGGGGTTAAAATAAAATTTTACCCTTTCATTAAACCTTTTTATATTTTCAATTTTGTAAAAAAATTATATTAATTTTATGAATTTAATTTTTTTAAAGAAAATATATAAATATTTTCCAACCTGTTTAAAAAACAAATATATAATAAGGACAATTTGGTCAAATAATTTTTTTAAAGAAAATATATAAATATTTTCCAACCTGTTAAAAAAACAAATATATAATAAGGACAATTTGGTCAAATATACATTTTAATAATCTTTTATTCCTTTAACCAAACACGGTAATCTTACATTCATGCTAAGCCAACCAAACACAAAATATAGCTTTCCCAGTAATCCTATTCATTGGTAATCTTTCATCCCCACTGATAATCTTACATTCCGTGAACCAAACGCACCCTTAAGGTCTTGGATTCAAGTAGTTGCGTCTGCGTATGTATATGTGTTGTCAATGATTAGGAAAAAAATTGAATAGATACTACCTTATAATATCCATAAGACTATTAAAAATAGACATTTTGATATATTATAATAAACAATATATCAAATAAATTTAAAATTAGTGAATAATAAAATTTTAGGGTAAGATACATAAATGATGAATGAAAAATGAGTAAGCTTCTTCTTTATGCATTGAAGTTTTAAAAGTAATGAAAATGACACTGATATTATTGTTTTATGAAAAATAAATCATTCTCTTGTTAACAGTCGTTGTCCTAACAGAGGAAGGTTATGTGATTGTTTTGTTATTGGGGTAGCTGTTAATGATTGATGATCGATTTGTTATAAGACAATAACAAAATTAATCTTTTCATTACTTTTGAAACTTTAATGTTGAAAAAGAAATTTACCCATACTTCAATGACCATTTATATAGTTTGTCCCAAGTTTTATCTTTTTTGCTTAAAAATATTATTTTTATAGACAAGTGAAACGCGATAAAATTATAAGATGGTGATAATCTTTGAGATGCAGTACTTAAAAGATGCATATTTTAGCCCAACTATATTAGGCCTTTACATTTGTATAAAACCCTTGGGACCTTAGATTAAAACCCAGGTTCTTCCTTTTAGGGGGTTCTGTGATGGGCTTAACTTGTCACTGAAAGTTGAAGGTGCCATTTCAGGTGGCCCAACCAATAATAGATATCAGTTCAGTCAACCCACCCATTGAAATACTTGTTCAGTAAACATACACTACAGAGAACGGGTTTACCCCTACTTTGGGGTAAATCTTCCCCCCCCCCCCCCAAATACCATTCACAATTCAAAGATAAAAACGATAGAAAATGAGAAAAATATAATTAAAATTAAGAAATTTAAATATTGATAAGGACAATGATCCGAACAAAACATAACTTCATCCTTGAACCTGTTCTAGACTTAACTGTGTGTTTCCAAAGTTCTTGGATTAGACCTTAATTTGTGCGATTTTAGACTATTATATGTATTGATACCATATACGAATATTATCCATGGAAACTTATACTGTTTAATAGCAGTGTGGTAGATGGGGGGTGAAGCTGGGACCTTAAATTTATATATAAAAGAATAAAGATTATGAAATCGGATATTGTCGGAATGCATTCATTCCCATCTTTACTCAGTTGTAAATAATTCAACAGATCTGATAACTGACGCACTAAAAGACTGTAGTAGAAGACACGAGAGCATGAGTTCACAGCAACAATTAGTTCCGAATTTTATGTAAGAGTGTAGTTGAAGTCGAGAGTTTAAAGAATTACAATGCAAAGAGAGTTTTTCTTCTGTTGGAATATAGTCGGTGTAAAAGAGTGCTGAACATGAGGATACTTCTCTCGTATCCCAATCGTTTGAGAATAAGACGGTGATGGTTCCTACATTTTATAAAAAAGACAACGGCCTGCTGGGATTCAGTATATTTGCGCTTGGGGCAATGACGGAGCTCACGAGGTTCTAACCTAGGCGCGCCTATTGCTGGTTGAAAACTATTTCCAAACCCCCTCTTAGGCCTGGGTTACCCCTGGCCTTCGAGAATTTATGGAAGAACTCTCTTCGGGGTAAAGCCCTACAGTTACTAGTACAGATTCCAATTTCTCACGGAGCACGGCTCTCTAGTAGGGGTGTTCATTCTGTTAAAACGGTGGTCGATCGAACCGAATTAATCATAACCGAATTAATTAAACTTTTTTTTTTCTTTAACCGTTAACCAAACCGAATTTTTTTTCGAACATATTAACTGAACCAAATAAATTTCGGTTAATTCGGTTAATTTCGAATTAACCAATTTTTTTTTAAAATTTTCTAATTTATATAAAAATTAAATATTTTTTAATTCAAAAAAAGTTTATAATTAATTTAAATAATATATAATTATAAAATACAAATTTTAGATAAATTTTTTAATTAATTAATATTGATTTAAGTTTAAAAGTTATTGGATCTTAAATTATTAATTAGGTTTTAAATGGTTTGGGCTTAACCCATATGTTATATATAATATATATAATATTTTTTAATTAAAAAACAGTTTACAAATAATTTAAATAATATATAATTATAAAATAAAAAATTTATATAATTTTTTAATTAATTAATATTGATTTAAGTTTAAAAGTTATTGGATCTTAAATTATTAATTGGGTTTTAAATGATTTAAGTTGAGTCCATATGTTATATATAATATATTTAAAATTTAAAATTTAATTTCGATTAATTCGGTTAATTAACTGAATTCGAATCTAATTAACCGTTAACCGAATTCTAAAAATTTTCTTAACCGTTAACCGACCAAACTAATTCGATAATCGAACCGAATTAACCGAACTAATTCGATTCGGTCGGTTAACCGAATTAGTTCGATTATTTGAACACCCCTACTCTCTAGTGTTTACATATTTTTCCTGGCCCAATTTTTATTTGAGTTTATTGGAAGTTATACTATTGGATTAAGCTTTCCGGCGTTGTGGTTTTGAATGTCCTGGATATTCAAATGCTCTGTTTCCAATGGTCTTGAAAGCCAGAATATTTACTATTATGATTACGATAGTTGAAAGTTTGCCCACTTTTTAATTTTCCAGACTGCTATTGTAACCAAAAAGTCGAGCTTACATTTGGAAGTCATATGTCTCAAAATTCAACGGATATAAAGATGACCCAGTAGTAGCATCCCAGTATAAAGTAATCTGAACAAATATCAAGAACCTAGTTAAAAAAAAGGTTGGAGCTTTAGACAATTGATTACTATTAAATCTACGATTGAGATGCCTCTTTCAACCCCATCAAAAGCGTACGCTGCTGCACTACAGAACCGGCCCAACCCCCCCAAAAAAGTGTATTGTGCCAGATATCTTCAACTGACGTACGCTAAGATATGTTGAGGAAATCATCAGAAGAAGCAGCACCAGTGCATGTCATCGTTTGGAGAAAGCAATGTACAGGAGAGCAAATCAAAAGCACTTTCGGCTGCAGATATGTCAGGCTTCGAATGACACGAGATAGAGAGAGAGAGAGAGAGGGGGGGGGGGAGAAGCCAAAGCCAGTGGATCATAATGAACATAGCCAGTAGTAAATAAATAACCCACCATTAGGAGCCTTTTTGCTCATTGGTTGGCCTGGCCATTCAAAATACCAGAAAAAGACGATATAGCGTATTGTTACTTGCTCGAGGGTCCAAAATCCTCGTTTCTTTAATTTCAGCTTTTCTGCTCCCTTTAATTACAATCTTATCTTCCAAATAATATTCCTCATTCCTTAGTTTTGTCATTATCCTCTCCATAAAGTAAAACTAGTATTCTCTCCCACGAGCGTCTCCGGCAACCACCGTCAATGGATGAGGCGACCAGCAAAATGAAGCCGTCTTCCGCCGGGAAAGCCAAGGGTCGGAATGGGGTTGTTGAGAAGAAAGAATACCCTGACCCACTTGCCTCTCATGAGGAAGTTGTTAAGGATCCTATTGTTTTCTGGGATACTATTAGGCGGTTTCATTTCATAATGGGCACCAAGTTTATGTAATTCTCATCTTTCACACCCTTTTCTAGCCTCATTTGAAAGGAACTCTCCTGCTTATTACATATTAGATTTGTTAACTTAAAAATGAAAATACACGGATTCCCATTCAGCTTCTTTTTTAAAGGTGATATCTTTTCATGCTACTTACTGTTAATCTTTTGTTTGACGGTTTATGTATTCTATATTGTTTTTTGTATCTTAAAGGATTCCTGTGATTGGAGGAAAGGAGTTAGATTTACACGGTCTGTATGTAGAGGCTACCAAAAGGGGTGGTTACGAGAAGGTTAACCATTTTTTATTGTTAATGTTTACCTCTAAATGCTCATCTTTTAGAGTATAAAACATGTTACCAATCATTTTGACCGTGTAGGTAGTTGCAGAGAAGAAATGGAGGGAAGTGGGTAGTGTTTTCAGATTCTCTCCGACGACGACAAGTGCATCTTTTGTGCTTAGGAAACACTATTTCAGTCTCCTCTTCCATTACGAGCAGGTTCATTTCTTCAAGATCAAGGGTCCTCTAACTACTCCAGCAGGTTGTTGATTTCATTAAGCATATGCCTATTGCATGGGATTTTCCCTTGTTTTTTTCTTTCGTCTGTAGCAAAACACTGTTGCCTGGTCTTACCCATGTGTGTTCCCCTCTAGCTTTATGCCGATTCATGTACGGGTATATTGCTCTTATTTTGATGTCCATGCAGTTGCATCTACAGTTAACGAACCTTCATGTAGACCTGAACTAGCTCTCGTGGAATATTACCCTAAACCGATAAGAGAATTCCCAGATCCACTTGTTGAAGGTAGCTTTTTCTTTTTTTGTTTGTTTTTTTCTTTAAATCTTCTAATCCGTTTTATTTCTTTCAATAGGATACAGCAAGTGTCGTCCCAGGTCCACACAACGCAAAATTTTGGATTTTAATTTCTGTATATTAGTGATGTCTGAACCTTATGTTTAATACAGCTACATTTATCCATGTCTCCGGTATATGTGGCTATGGTCTTATGATATATATATATCTTGTGAAACAAATATGTATATTTAGCTGTCTCTATCTGTGGTTAATTCTGATGTTTTCAATTGCCTGGTACCACGTACCCTCAGCAAACATTTGGTTTTAGAAGGCATTTCATGCTCAAATCTCCAACTAACTGCCCTTGGAAGCAAAATCGTTTAAATAGTTGGTATTAATTATAGAAAGTGAAACTCATATTCAATACTTGTATATATATGCACTGCTTTGTCTGATATGGCACACTGCATATTCATGTGATTGGTGTCCATGCAACTTCATACTGCTAAGAAGTTGATTGGATAACCATACCTGATATGATTCTCTTTGTAGGAACCTCATGTTTGTCAGTTACGGGAACGATTGAAGGGAAGTTCGATTGCGGTTATCTGATATCTGTGAGGTTGGGTTCTGAAGTTCTTAGTGGAGTGCTTTACCATCCAGAGCAGCAACCCGTTTCTGAATATAGCAATGCCATTGTCCCATACAAACACATTTGCAGTGGCCGGCATTCCGGTAGGAGGAGGAGAAGCCGAAGGGCGGAAGACCCCAGCTATCCAAAACCAAACAGGAGTGGTTATAACTTTTTCTTTGCAGAAAAGCATTATAAGTTCAAATCACTGTATCCAAACAGGGAGAGAGAGTTAACAAAAATGATTGGGGAGTCTTGGAGCAGTCTCGGCCCAGAAGAGAGGATGGTAATTGCAAAAGAAGAAGAGATAAAAACAACTTAATCGATCACATATAAAGTTGCTGTGAAAATGAATAGAGACGTGTTTGATGATTAATGTATGTGAGTGCAGGTATACCAGAACATTGGATTGAAAGACAAGGAAAGATACAAGAGAGAATTGAAAGAGTATAAAGAGCGACTGAAGCAGAGGCAGCAAGGCGTGGAAACTGAGAAACCTGATTACTAGAGGATTAACCAAAGCACAGATATTTGCGACTTACTAAACACTAAAACTTATGCCAGATAATAAGACCACTGACTTCCCTCGTATAGATATGTTGGCTCTATAAGACATTATTTAATCCTCTATAATTTGTAAGCTTAGTTGACACAAGTACTCCAGTTTGAAGGCGCCAAGGTTGACATATTTCTTACTCGCATCCATATGCATGATTGTATTCGATTTCAAGCTCTTAATCATTTCTTCAAACAAACTTGTTTAAGTAGTTCATTCTGTGCTAAGATGCTACAGAAATCGTTTGTTTGTTTTTCTCTTCTACGTCTGTCATAACCTCCTGCGGGTTACTCTGCCAGTTGTGCCCCCTGCTCTCGATATGCCTGGAAGTGATTGACCCGGGAATTAATGTAGAAGGAAACAAATAGAAAGATAATTGCTTCAAACAGTCTTGCATGTGTTCCCCGTGATAAACACCGCCAACAGAAGTTATGAGCGTATGCAAACGTGGAAGTGGGTGACAGGGATTCCGAGTATTATGAGCCAAATAAAGACTGATAAAATGACTACCGCGATGTTCAACATGTTGTGGAGTTCATCCACTGCAGTTTTTGTATCATTAGGGACAATTGGAGTGCTTTTCGATCTCTGAAGGCATTCACCTTGAAGAGGAAAACATTTGTTTTGATGTGTCTAAACAAATTCAGACAAAAATATGAATTATACTCCAATTACCAGCCAATTATTGAGTGATACCTCGCTGATTCTTTCTTCAGTTCCTGTTCCAAAGGGATTCAATGCTTTTAAAGCTTCATCTCGACCCATAAAGCACATAATGTCTTTAAGGTAAATGTATCTGATAACAGATTCGTGTCATTAATTTAATTAGCATTGAAGATATTCATTTTTTTCATTTTAATGTTATTATTATTATTATAATTATTATTATTATAATTATAATAATAATAATAATAATTATTATTATTAATATATATTATTTAATATTACAAGCCCAAAATAGAAACCCATTTACAAATCCTGAAACCCAAACCCAACCCGATCGAGAAACCCTAACCCTTTTAGGGTTTTCTGAAAATTCCAGCCGCCTTAGCCAACGGTCCAGCTTCCAGCCGCCTCTGCTGCCATGACACCCCATCGAAGGCTCCAGAAGACCCAGATGGTCACCCACGTTGCTACTCTAGCGGTGAGTCACCACATAGTTCGGTGACTCACCGAAATCCGCTCTTCGGACCGGTCTGAGATGAGTGCCGGTGATGGCTATAAAGCCATCACCCAACCTGCAAAGAAGAAAAAAAAAAGACAACAGAGACGGAGGGAGATAGAAAACAGAGAGCAACATCCCACAACCAGCAAAACAAACCCAAAACAGAAAGGAAAAGAAAAGAAAGGAACTTACCGAGGAAGCCACCGGACTCCTTCAAACGTCACCAAAACCTTCGGAAACCGAAGGTACTTCTTTAGTTTCGCTCCGATCAGGAGTCATTTAGGAGAAAAGAGCACCGGAACCGTCCTTAGGACGGTCCGATCTATCTAATGGTATAAAAATAAAATTTTCCGGCCACCGGATGCGGTGGCCGACGGTGAGGGTCACGGCGGCAGACGGTTGCTGTCCGGTGACCGGCTTCCCTCCGGTGAGGGAAGCTAGAGAGAAGGGAGAGCTTTTGTTCATTCTCTCTCAGTTAGAGAGAGAATGAAAACTGGAAAATGAAAGAGATGGCCCGAAGGGCCGGCCGTTTTGGGCATTAAATAGCCCTTCCCAAACGACGTCGTTTTGGGGAGGGCTATTTGTGTAATTATTAATAGTTAAATCCTGTCCGCTATCCCTTTAATTTGTAAACTTTACATTTTAGTCACTAAATCGAGTTTATAATCCTTTTAATTGGATCTTTAAATTTTAGTTTTATTTATTTTAGTCCTTTATATTAAAATAATCTATTTAGGGTAAATAACATATTTAATCCCTTAATTTTAATAATTAATATTTTAATCCCGAGTTTATATTTTTAATTTATTTTAATCTAATATCCGAATTTTATATAATTTTATTTCAGTCACTAAATTAATAAAATAAGAAAATAGCATGTTTAATCCCTATATTTGATTAATTATGAATTAAGTTTTAATTTTAATTTACTATAATTTAGTCACTTATTTTAAATGTTTTTTATTTCTTTTATTGCTTTTAAATATATAGTTCTAATTGTATTTTTATTATTTTAATTTTACTTATATATTTAAATATTTTTATTATTATTATGTAGTCATAAACATATATAATAAATAAATATTTATTTTTAATAAATTATTTTTAACATTTATTTTTTTAATATCGAAGAAAAGGGCAGTCTTAATACAATTGGATGTCCTATTCTGGTATTTTAAAATTAAATATTATAAAAATTATTACTTAATTTTATTCAGATTAATATTTATTAATATCAAAGAAAAGAGCTGTCTTAAGACACCTAGAAGTCCTTTTCTGATATTTCTAAATATTTTCTAAATATTTTTTAAATAATATGATTATAAATTAAATATATTTTGAATTTTTAAATTTTTAATAATAGAGACAATTTATAATTAAAAAGTACCAATTTTGGGCGTTGTAGGGGTGCTAATCCTTCCCTAAACGTAACCGACTACGAATCCCTTTTTATTATTAAAAAGAACGAATTTTTGGTTATAAACGCAGATCAGTTCATCTTTTAACTGATGTTTTCTTAAAAAAACTCTGTTAAAAGATAATTTTTAGGTATTCGACCTACCTGACCTAAAAGGCCGATGGCGACTCCCAAATTATTTTCAAAACCATTTATTCACATAAATTTTCCCGCCAAGTAAAAAATTCGTGCCCGGACGAAAACCGGTTACGACAGCTTGGCGACTCCGCTGGGGACCGGTCAAACTTTTAAAATCAATTACAAATTGTCTCTATTAATTATAAATTAAAATTTATATATTTAATTTATGATTTTTCCTTTTCAAATTTGTTTATATATTTATTATTTTCATAGTATGTATATATTTTTTTATTAATATTTCATTTTTATTTGCAAGTATTTTATTTCATTATTTATTTTTCTGTTAGAGGTTTGAACATTTCTCCTCACACACAACACTTGCATTGCATAACATAAAAAGCTCTATAATTGAGTTGTCCTTTTTAAGTGGGAGTGAAAGCGACGTCTTCGTGAGAATTTATTCTCCGTGTCAGACCTAGCAAGTAACTTTCGGGGTTCATATGCTCTATGTCTTCGTGAGAATTTATTCTCCGTGTCAGGCATAGAGAAATGTATCCCCTCGAATTGAACTCGATCCATTTTAGTCTGTGATGGACTAGGATTGAGGGTTAGCAACCCAAGGGGGCACTAACAAGGACAATTCGGGTACCTTTATTCTTAGATCTGAAACCTTACATATAATAAACCCTAGAAACTCTTCCGATCTGAAGTCATGCCGAAATTTTGTCCAAAATAGGTGTACACAGGAGAAATGATTTCTAACTTTCCTGTTAATTTATTTATTTTCTTTACTGATTAAATTACATGTATATTTAAATTATTTAAATTTAGAAAAAGCATGTTTAAATAAAAATATTTAGGTAAATGTTATTATTAAATTTCTTTATTATGTAAACTAATTCATTTCTTTTTGTGTGTTCTTTATTTTTTCTGTTTGCATAGCATCATACAGGATAAAAGGCATTGATCCTTGTGTTAATTGTCTTATTGGAAAGCCTTCATCCATGGATAAAAAGTGTTCAAAATCAAGTAATTCTAAACTCAGAAGTAAGACAGTGGGCTGAGGATTTACAAAGACAAGAAGGAGACAGTCTGCAGGATGATTATGTATCTGACTTAGCCAGTTATGCTCCAATTTCACTAAAAAGAAATGATATGCAAGATTTGCGAAGTATTTGGGAAAGTTGGGATTCAAACAAAAAATTACAGTTTTATCAGACTTACGGAGACATCCCATATTTGCTCTATGTCGAAGTTGATGATGAATTACTCAGAGCCCTAATTCAATTCTGGAATCCAGGGTACAATTGCTTCACTCTCAATAAAGAGGACTTGGTCCCTTCTATTGAAGAGTACACAACTTTGCTACATATCGAAGGGGCTTTGGAGAATCGAATCTATTCAAAGTCAATTAAAACTCAACCCTTTCGAGTTAAATTAGCAAAGATTGCCGGGGTACGAGAAGAATGGGTGGCATCCCGTACAAAACAAAAAGGCGAAAGCGAAGGCATTGCTTGGACCAACATTAAAGAACTTATTCAGAGCCATCCAGATATTAAAGTAAGATTCGATTTATTTGCTCTGGGTATGTATGGTATGGTCATCTTCCCAAAAGTATTGGGATATGTTGAAGCTGCAGTGGTAGATTTGTTTGAACAGCTACCGAAAAAGATTAATCCTGCTTCTGCAATTCTAGCAGAGACCTTCAGATCGTTAAATGCTTGTAGAAAGCTAGGAGGTGGATGATTCTTAGGGTGTACCCAGTTGTTATATGTTTGGATCCGTAGTCATTTCTGGAGGACAGAAAAGGTTTCATACCGACACTTTAATACGGATTACTCACCATTAAAAGAATTTCTGGAGCAAGAATGGCAGAAAGAAATTAAGAAAGATATGTGGATTAATGCCTTTCGAAATCTGCAAAGCAATGACATTGTTTGGCGAGCCCCGTGGCAAATCCAAAGGGAATTCTTTTACAAATGTGGAGATTACAATTGGATAATGCTTCTCGGATTATGGGGAGGAATTAGATATGCACCACTTCTGGTCATAAGACAGTATGAAGGCCGTCAATTTGTACCGGTCACCGTTGGATTACATTCATCTGAGTTCGCATTCCACAGCAAAAATTATAAAAGAAATATCATGGAAGCCGTTACAGCTTGGAAAACAACTTTTTGTATCCGAGCTAAAGCAGCAAAAGAAATGCTAACTCCTGATTATGAGGAATGGAGATATGTCAGGAAAAATGAAAATATTCCTCTACCAGATCAAAATGAGGATATCTCTATGGAAGATCGCATTAAGGTGGTT